CAGTTCACTCTTATGTGTGGTCACCCCCAGACAATATTCGTCAGCGGCACCGACTGTCACACGGAGTTGATGCCGAATACACAAAAGCACAAACAGAATACACAGACCGTCGTGAGTGACGATGCCTCTCACTGGCACACTACACTACACATGCACAAATCACCATATCGCCCATGCCTACCACTACCTACCTGCCGTCGCCAACACTGACGCCAGTTCCGCCTCAGCAGACCACATCGGCACTCACTCGCAACCCTCTACCACCACAAGTGCTGCTACTCAAAGTGCACGCAGAAGGAAGACGCGGCAAAATCACACACTCATTCATCAAAACATGCACGGAACTCCGCCGCAAGAAACAGCACAGAGCATAGCCCAACTGCACACAGGCAGGCACGTAATGCTTTATTGAGAATGTAGAAGACGGCACAGGACACACTCAACCCATCCATCGATGGGTGGGGAAGACTACAAGAGGAGAAAATGGTAGTGCCTAGGGGAAGTTGGCTACAAACGGTAGCATCGAATGTCAACCGTTGGTGTTCGACGCCTTGGTTACCAAACGCACCCTGAGGTAGTGCATCCGGCCGTAATGCGTCGACCAAATCGTCATTGGCTCAATCTTCCTCCGTCCGTTACCGCGAACGTCGCCGCTCGGGTCTTTGATGGGAGGGGTAGAGAAAGCGGAACAAAAGAACGAAATATGGGTGGACGCGATGAAGTACACAATCGCAGTCATAACACAGAAGGCAGTGGGCAGGTATCGAACAATTCATACCACCACACGGACAACGGAACGAGTGACCAAGATGCTCGCGATCACGTTAATGTTCAAGCACAATCTCCCTGTCCCGCCTCACTCCAGTTGTTCTCGCAGTAGACTGCTGCTGCTGCTGCAAAATCAGCACTACCGCCTACCTACTAAGACCCACGCACGCGCAAGTGCAGAAGTGGAGAGTGTGGATGCATAACTGCAGTGCAAAGGTCAGACAGATGCTATCGAAGTTAGACACCAACTTGAATTTTGGTCCAGTGAAATCCATCAGAAAGCAACACCTTCAGCAGATGGATGGGTGTGGACCCAGAGCATGGACATTATGGTGGGGAGGGAAAGCGAAGAGACGCAGACACTCACAGACGCTAATCAATGGTAAACTGTCAACTAAGCAATCAGCCATTTCTCACCCAGCCGCGTACCTCCATTTGTGAACACGTGCAATAGGACCAACTATTGCCACACGCAAAACTAGTTCTCAATAGTGCTGATAGCAATGTGAGAATTGAGTTAAACGCCAAAAACACAAAATGTTGATTGCTATGAAAGGACAGACAGACGGACGGACAAAGATACGCAACGTCAATTGCTTGCAGTGGTGTGAACTGTGACAGTGCAGTGTGGAGAGGCCGTGTTGTGGCCCCTGCTCGTCAATACGGCACAAATACATGGCGGTTAGGATGCGATCAGTGTTGCACAATCATGAAACAGAACCTCGGCACGAGACCCTGGGATTATACTGTGCCCCCTAAACTTCACTTTACGCCAGTCTGATTCGACTAGCTCACATCAACGTGAGAGTCTTTGCCCGTGGCGGTGCACAGAGTTAAGGAGTGCATATCGGCTGCTGACGCTGACACCGCACCATCAGTCCGGTTTGGTGCAGCTTAGCCCAGCCAACCCATTTCTGTCCACACAATTTCGAAGCTGTCACCCAACTTCGGAGTGCAGAGGACAGAGGAAGTAGACATGCCGTGTCATGTGTCAAAGTGGAGCATTCAAGCATCGTAAGTAATAGAGCAAGAGTAATATTCGACAAGAAGTCTTCTTTACTACTAATGGTTACAGTTTAAGATTCACTAGCATCATCCAACATCGGCTAGCCAGTAAACAAAGACAATAGCATCACAATTCAAGATATATGCGTAAATGTCTTCCTTCAGCTATGACAACTTGAATGCCACGCATTGCTTCAGGAATTCCATCTCCGTTACGCTTGACCCGATACATACACATATGCCTCGGAATTTGACGCACGGTGGTTGGGTGATAAGCTGATAGACAAAAAGGAAAGGAAAGGAGGAAAGCAAGAAACAAATAAGCACACGCACACAGCGCAGGCAGCGGATGTGCAGCTACATGGCCCGTAAATCGACTGCTTCGACAACGGGTGGCGGTCGCCCTCACCTTTCTCTTGGCCATCATTTGATCCTCCAGACTCACGTCTGCATGAATTTCACTGTGGCCATACTCCTCATCCGCCACCGCTTCTCCCTACCCCGCGCTCTCGGCTTCAAATATGTCACCCATTGCCCGCAAAGGCAGCAGCGAACAATCGCCTGCCGCCGCGACTGCAATTGAGTCCGCTTTTCCAATTTCAGCCAGTGTGAGACGACACCACTGCAAACGAAGGTGCCGTTTCGAGGCTGGCTTCTGCCACCTTTTCCTTTCGCCATGTGCCGGCCCAACGATGGCCTCTAGGGGCATTGCAGTCGACCAGTCTCAAACTGATTCATAGTCAATACTTCTGGCTAGACAAACATTAACCAAGAACTAACCCCCGAGATGCCTGTTCCTTCCTTGTAACTCATGCTGATCCTATTCTCCCAAAATCACTAATACACGCAAAGCATAGAACTTCCACCCTGCGTTCATCCATCCATATTCTCTCCTTCATACCGCACTTCCCATGACACAGTGAAAGTACCACCTCGGTGCGTGATAATAATGCATTGGCGGATGACGCGGATGGGTCGACTGCACCAAATAGGCAATAGGCAGATGTAGCCTCCACCGATTTAAAGGACCACGATAGGGGTGAATTCATTTCTGTCCATCGGAACCACTGTATAGAACGCGTAACCAATACAGTGGAGTGGATAAGGACAAGGAATGGTGCTGCTCCCCTAGACTGTCTGTGGCACACCAATGGACCAGAGAACGCATCAGCCAGCGCGTTCCTGTAACGATAATGTGCTGCACTACTCTACGCCACCTCAAATGGATACAAACATGCCTAATGCGCGCGTGAATGCGTCTGCATGCACCCCTAACCGTGGCGCTAATGTCGATGTCGTGTTGCGTGACGATGCATGACTGTGCGGAGACTGGAGCCATACCGACCCAATGCGGGATAAAGAATGGCCATCTCCCAAGCCTTCCTCCTTCACTTTTGGCCGATTTTGACCATCACACACGCATATTTGATGTGGATGGAAAAGAGCACGGCCAAATGCGGCGCAGAGCAGCCGGTCCAATTCATGGGGCGGGGGAGCTAATTCCATGTCACTTGAAGTGTGCCACAGTGTCATGCAACAGAATCCTGCGTGCTTCCCTCACCCCACCTCACGCCATCTTGATTCTTTCAGCCCACATCAAAGTGCTAGGTGTCTTTGCCGTACCAACCCCTACCACACGACGCAACAAGTGAGCTCGTCTTCACTTAAAA